TAAAGGGAGGAGTGAAGTTGGGCAGGAATAGGTTTGGCAGTGAGGTCAACCAGGTTAGATAGTTCATAGACTCAGATGCAACTGTGACAAGATATGGGTGATCAGGACGACTGTGAAAGGAAAAGTTGCTTAAATGTTTTTTGGAGACATTGCTGGAAGAGAAGGGTAATATCAGAGTATGGAGCTGTAGGGGGAATCGCAAAGAATCAATCCCATTTGGCCAGGACAAAAAGGGTACGCAAAAGGTTTGCAGAAGTAGAAGCAGTAGAAGGATGAGGGCGGGAGGAAGATGGGATGGTATGGAGAGACATCCTCTATATAGTACTGTTGGGAGGGCAATAAAGATGAATAGTAGTAATATGGGGGTGGAGGTAGACAATGAAGAAGAAAATGCAGTAGAAGATGGAGTGGAGGGTGTTGTGGGAATGGAAGGGGTGTATTCTGAACATTGAGTAATGACCTGGGTGGATGATTCGGAATCAATAGAATTGACCTCAAACATCGAGGAGAAGGTATTCGTATCAGAGTTGTGATCAAAGGAGAGGCAGGGGTTGGGAAACCAATGAAATCAAATCTAGGTAGGCTAGTTGATGAAAAGGGCAATTAATTTTTGACCATGGTGAGCCTGAAATAAATGGGGAGAGGAAATGGTCTCTCAGGTTCCCTATGAAGGGTACGGGCTAGACAACCAAGGGCATACCGTGCCCATGGCTCCCAGAGGCCGTTCATGACTGACACAGCCACAACCTTTCATCCTTTCAGCACAGCTCTCACACCTTAGGAAGTGGACAGAAGAAAGGGATGATGAAAAAGAGAAGAAAAGGAAAGAGAGAGAAGGAAAGGCCATGCAAAATAAGTTGAGGTGAGGGCTGAGGTCCAAGGTAGGGGTGTTCCCCTACACTGGGCCCCAATCTCCGCCTCCTAAGCCCCCCCATGACAACAATGAGCAAGGGATTAGGGGGTATATTTCTTTAGGGTAACGTGATATGAAAAGGAAAACAGTCCCGGTAAGAAATTAATATAAAACGTGATATGTATCAGAATGCATGTGCGATTCCCAGGACCTCACTCAAATGGGTCCAGGTTTGTTTACATGAGGACTATGTATGTTGCCTTGGTAGTGTGATAGGGTCAGTCCATTTGCACATGGAAACACATACGGAAATGCAAAAATTGACAGAAAAAGTGCTAGTGATAGGTCTTTTAAGCTTGCAACAATTATGATAATTATATTCCTTAGTTCTTAGTTTTAATTTTTTTTGTTTGTTTGTTTGTCTTAGCATGGCACAATAAAAAATTAAAATGACATAATAAAGTAATTAATGTATTTCCTAAGTGAATGTAGATTTAACGTCACATAAGATCCGCTATATAGTTTCTGCTGCACTTGAAATCCGGCCATCTACATACAGCTTTTCTACTGTATTCCTTTTGACCTCTCATTTGCGTTAAGCACGGTCACTCTTTATCGAGTTAAAATAAAGCAGAATATACCTTTGCTGAAGATGAATGCAGCTGATGGGGGTTTTAATGATATATTTAGATACAATACATCTTCTAAAAATAAAATAGATTCTTGTGAAAGATTAACTAGTTTTAAGGCATTCTCATGCTTTTGAAAAATGTTTTAGCAAAACAATTTTACTGTAATTGCTCTGGATGCAAAAGCAGGCATGAAAAAGCAAGTTTTGTAAAGTCAATTTGTCATATGAAATTCATTTTTTTTTAGCATATTTACAATCAAAGATGGAATATTTACCAGGATTTCCATTAAGATAAGCAGCATCAATTTCATTTTGTTACATATAATGTGTACAGGAGATTCCTAGGCCTTATGATATATTTCTCAAGAATGAGCTTTCTGAAATAGACAATTAACATTAATAGTTCATAGTAATTAGCCATATTTGCCTTATGATGATTAAATAAAGATACAATTTAAAGTGCAGTATTCTGTCATAATCTTGCAATTATGTCTTGTAATAACAGCTAACTGAACAACTTCCTTTTTATGACTCCATTTCATATATCATTCATGATTGAAAGAACTTTAAACTGAAAGTAAAGATAGTCATCACAAAGAAAAACCATACGACCTTAAAATTAAAAGTAAAAAAAACAAACATAGAATGCATTACAAAAGGGCAAGGAAAGTCAAAGCACATGATTCAAGTTAGAACAGTTTTACTGTATAAATGATTTTCAATAGTACAATAATGTATGCATGCAATGGTGATTTGTAGACAATAGCGCCTTCTTACATTACTATAAGTTATGGCAGTTAGCAGTTCATTGAACACACTGGGTTTAACATCAAAAAATAAAACAAAATATCAAAACACAGCCGCACATGGGTCAAATGGAGACCTTTAGGTGATCTTTAACGCAAGCCCTGTAAAAAATAACAGCAGGAAAAGAACCTTCAATGAAAGGCACTTTCTGAGATGTGAACATTCTATTATTGTTACATACAACATAGATCAAAACTAAACCTGTATATAATAGTAATGAGATACAATGTCAATTACCTTCTCATTACTAATGTGTGAATGAAAAATGCATTCTATTACTATTGTGTTGCATGATCATGCAGCTTCCCTTATAAAAAAAAAAAAACAAAGAAAGAAAGAAAAAAGAAAAAAAAAAATTGTGTGGTAAAATCTGAATACTAAGTTTCTTTTCTTAAAAAAATAGAAAAACAGCACACATAAAAAGGAAGTTGAAATGACGTCAAAGAAGTGTTCGCTTGCATCCATCACAAAATATCAGAAACTATGACAGAAACCCTAAGTTTTCTAGTGATTACAGGAGAGGAGTAGCAAGAGAAGTGGTGACAGGAAAAAAAAAGATAAAAGAAAAAGAAAAAGAAAAGTTAGAGGTGATACTGTTCATTACAGGTATATTTCAAATGAAAATGATGACTAATTTGCAATAATGTTAAAAATCAAGCAGCCTTAGAAGCTGTGCACCAGTAAAAAAAAAAAGAAGCTCATTTAGGTATTTTCTTATTTATATAATGATAATAATAATAATAATAATAATAACAATAACAGTAACAATAAAATAATAATAATTAACTACTATAATAATAGTAGTAGTAGCAGCAATAATAATAATAATAATAATAATAATAATAATAATAATAATAATAATAATAATAATAATAATAATAATAATAATAATAATAATAATAATAATAATAATAATAATAATAATAATAATAATAATAATAATAATAATAATAATAATAATAATAATAATAATAATAATAATAATAATAATAATAATAATAATAATAATAATAATAATAATAATAATAATAATAATAATAATAATAATAATAATAATAATAATAATAATAATAATAATAATAATAATAATAATAATAATAATAATAATAATAATAATAATAATAATAATAATAATAATAATAATAATAATAATAATAATAATAATAATAATAATAATAATAATAATAATAATAATAATAATAATAATAATAATAATAATAATAATAATAATAATAATAATAATAATAATAATAATAATAATAATAATAATAATAATAATAATAATAATAATAATAATAATAATAATAATAATAATAATAATAATAATAATAATAATAATAATAATAATAATAATAATAATAATAATAATAATAATAATAATAATAATAATAATAATAATAATAATAATAATAATAATAATAATAATAATAATAATAATAATAATAATAATAATAATAATAATAATAATAATAATAATAATAATAATAATAATAATAATAATAATAATAATAATAATAATAATAATAATAATAATAATAATAATAATAATAATAATAATAATAATAATAATAATAATAATAATAATAATAATAATAATAATAATAATAATAATAATAATAATAATAATAATAATAATAATAATAATAATAATAATAATAATAATAATAATAATAATAATAATAATAATAATAATAATAATAATAATAATAATAATAATAATAATAATAATAATAACAATAACAGTAACAATAAAATAATAATAATTAACTACTATAATAATAGTAGTAGTAGCAGCAATAATAATAATAATAATAATAATAATAATAATAATAATAATAATAATAATAATAATAATAATAATAATAATAATAATAATAATAATAATAATAATAATAATAATAATAATAATAATAATAATAATAATAATAATAATAATAATAATAATAATAATAATAATAATAATAACAATAACAGTAACAATAAAATAATAATAATTAACTACTATAATAATAGTAGTAGTAGCAGCAATAATAATAATAATAATAATAATAATAATAATAATAATAATAATAATAATAATAATAATAATAATAATAATAATAATAATAATAATAATAATAATAATAATAATAATAATAATAATAATAATAATAATAATAATAATAATAATAATAATAATAATAATAATAATAATAATAATAATAATAATAATAATAATAATAATAATAATAATAATAATAATAATAATAATAATAATAATAATAATAATAATAATAATAATAATAATAATAATAATAATAATAATAATAATAATAATAATAATAATAACAATAACAGTAACAATAAAATAATAATAATTAACTACTATAATAATAGTAGTAGTAGCAGCAATAATAATAATAATAATAATAATAATAATAATAATAATAATAATAATAATAATAATAATAATAATAATAATAATAATAATAATAATAATAATAATAATAATAATAATAATAATAATAATAATAATAATAATAATAATAATAATAATAATAATAATAATAATAATAATAATAATAATAATAATAATAATAATAATAATAATAATAATAATAATAATAATAATAATAATAATAATAATAATAATAATAATAATAATAATAAAGATAAAGAAAAGAAAAAAGAAAAGAAAAAAAAAGAAAACAAGAAAAAAGAAAAAATGAAAGCAAGCTCTTGTGCATACAGACACTCAAGATACATGCAAAGACATGGAGACCTGACACCATGTAGCTTAGAGGTGAAGTCCACCTTCTGCGGAATGGCAGCCATATGTGCCTGTCATATTCCATCTTCTCTCCTAGACCCTGAGACTTGCGTTACGTATTTGAGGAGAGGGGGGCTTTCTAAAGCGTAAAAAGATTCTCTATCGCAGTCAAAGCTATGCACTGTTATCCTCTATTTTGATATCTTGGGTTAGCTGCACTCCAGCTGGGAGCTTGTGGCAACCATACGTCCGTGCAGCACCGGGAGACTACATTATCTTAGGAGCATTACTTAGATCAGTGGCATTTACATCACTAGTAATTAACACTTATTATTATATATTTATATATATACAGTCTTATATCAAGTTAAAATAAAAATGATTTCCTGGTTTATCTAAATACAATACTTTGGGCTCTGTTATCTCCCTTTGTTACTGATATGGAATCATGTCGTGAAAAGAAATGAAGAATAATCCTCTTTGCCTCACTTTTCTTTGATTCTCACTTGCTTCGAGAAATACAGTCAAAAAGGAGAAAATCCACAGAGGAGTAATACATCATGAAAGATGAAGTTTCATAAAAAAAGATGTGGATGTATGCATGTGTGTGTATGGAGGGGGGTGGGGATTAATGAGAAATTGATCCTCTTGTATTTTTCGTTCAGGCTGCGTTTCTACTTCCCCCCCCCTTGTTTACTGTCTGTTCCCTTAACTTTCTGTGCTGAATATAGCCTCAATAAATATATATAAAATTTTGCTTAAAAATTACAAATCACATCAATGTTCTCACATACACCAAAGTTCCACTCAAAAGGCCCATAAAGATGGTGCCTATCGAAGGAGCTTCTCTCTCTCTCTCTTTCTCTCTTCCTCATTTGCTCCTTCCCATCAAACAATCTTGTACTCCAAAATGCCAAAAGAGGAAACATGTCTGGGGGACATGGCTCCCTCTCCCCTACATCCCCTCAGGTGAAGGACAGGCCCCTCTTCATGAGTGTGGCTTGGTAGCGTGCCTGGGCTGGGTTTACCAAGGCCAAGAGCTGCTGCACTAGATCGTGGATTTTCACCGATGGCCCCACCTTCATCCCCGTCAGGCCCAGCACCTCATTCTGCGTCAGGCTTAGCAGCTTCGTCCCGTGAATGTTCTGGTAAGAGAAAAGATGGAGGACTAGTCAATTTCAGTGTCCAAAAATTTGTAAGTCCATTCAGCTGTGAAATATTAAGTCTCCTCTGTTTTCCTTTAATTACTTCAGTTACTCATCTTAATCTACCACCTTCAAGTCTATAATTATTCAAATTCTGCTTTTCTGCCTAAGTATACACCCTTTCATTTTTGACATACATAGGCAATTAATATGATGGTGAAAATATTAGCTAATCTTTAACGAAAATCTGTAATCATCCTGGAAAGAGTGTAAAAGAAGTATAGAGTACAAATGATATATTGATATATTACATTCACAAAAGTATCAACTTGATCTCAATCAGTCTATTCTCACAGCAGTAAAAAAATGTGCCATCAATAATATCCACATCTGCACTTCCTTGAAGACAATAACAAAACAAACCTGAGATATGAAGTTGTCACAATAAGCTCCACAGTCATTCTTCTTCAAGAAAAGTGCTACATCCTGAGGTGTCCAGAGTTTAGGCTTGACTTTTGATCCATCTTTAATTGGCCCATCAATCATCCTTGGAATAACTGACTGGGGAGACTCTTTCTCTGCTACAGGAAGTACTGTATCCTGAGATGAATTATTACACTGGTTGCTCACTGTAGATGAGACTGTGGGAGACTGTGATGTGACCTTGCCCTGCTGAGAAATGCCATTCTTTAGCGCTGGGGGTAGGGTGGACTGTGGGACGTTTACTGGGCTTGATGTATTGGTTGTGACAATTGTGGTCTTGACAGCTGATGTCTGTGTTTTCATCACTTTGTTGGCCTGTAAAACATTGGCAGCAAGTGGAACACTACGCACGGTGTTGTGACTCTCTTGTTGTTGGGTATGAAGCATGGACCTTTGCTCTTGACTGACAACGACTGGTTGAGGATGATACTGGGTAACCTTTTCAGGCACTGGATCCTGTTCTTGGTGAATCACCTTGTTCTTGGATTCTTGATCTCTGCCTTCTGTTGCAGTGGTTGTATAGCCTGTCTGATGGGATGTGTTCTGACTGGGAAGCTCAGCTGAAGGTATGGGGGATGGGCTGCCTGAGGGTGAGTTGCAGGATTCTTCCTCCATGTCCCATGGTTCTCGAGAACTTTCATTCCCATCTAGTGAGGCCACCCCTGAGGATGTTTCATCTGGAAAGTCAGAAAGTTGTTTGAATGTTAACAAAGAAAAGCCATTTATATTTCAACTTATCTATTTATTTTATCTTTATTATCATTTTAATTATTATAATTATCATTTTAAAATACTCTCTACCCTCTGCTACCAAAGAGAGAGAGAGAGAGAG